AGGTAACTAAATTTTAGCACCTGGAAGTAACTTCCTGAAGGCCATGTAATTAGTAAATGGCAGGTGCCAAGATTCAATCCAAAGCCTTTTTGTGAATTTTTTCAGAATACTAGGCTACTTCTTCAAGCAGTGAACACAAACTGTGTCATTTGTGATGCAGTCACTGTGCTCTCTAAAGGATCACGGCAGGTGAGCTCACTTTCTGCAGGGCTGACTAGGGAGGCTGGAATGTGAAGGAGGGAATCACAGAGAAAGAAAAGGGAATGGCATGAACAAAATTATGAAAATAAATAAAAGTATGACCTAGAAGTACTGTCTTCTGGCTACTTTACCCTATTTCTTGTTGAGTACAATACAGTCTGAATAGAAAAAAGAAGGAAATAAAGTGTAAGAGATAGATGTGAGCCACAACATGGAGACTGTTAATTCTAGTGTTAGAAATTTGGCCTTGAGCCTGGCATGGTGGTTCATGCACAAAATCCCTGCTCCTTCGGAGGCTGAGAAGGAAGAATTGATTAAGGCCAGGAGTTTAAGACCAGCCCAAGCAACATAGGAAGTCCCTGTCTTTAAAATAATTAAAAAATCAACCGGGCATGGTGGCACACATTTGCAGTCCCAGCTGCTCAAGAGGCTGAAATGGGAGGATCATCTGATCCCAGGAGATCTAGGTTGCAGTGAACTATGATCACAGCACTGCACCCCAGCCTGGGTGACAAAGTCTCTTGCATATTTGTGTAAATGTAATTATGTAACTAATTACATATAAAAATGTAGATATTAATGCATTTGTAATTATGTAACTAATTACATGTAAAAATGTAAATATTTGTCCATTTGTAATGGAACATATTCACAGGTTATTTATAAAATTTAAATAAAATAAAAATGGCTAAAAAAGAAATTTGGACTTAGTTTGGTAGATACCAGAGAGTCAAGAAAAAAATTTCAACAAAATTTTGCTTTAGGAAGAATCTTCTTGTGGTATGTCTTAGGTAAGTTTCCCTAGAATGATATGCTGAAAAAATGATTTATTGAGGGGTTCTCTCAAGTGAAACCTATAAAAGAATGAGGGAACCAGGAGAAGACAGGGAAACAAGCGTATAAATACCCAACACTCATAGCAGTTGAAGGAAAGTTCACACTGCCCTAGTGGAGGGAAACTGGGCAGGCACCAGCCATGTCTACTGTGTGGCATTTTGAAGGATGAATTGGAATCAAAGGAGCTTGATGAACCACATACAAGGCACTACCATTTGAACTTAGTGGCAGAATGATGACTTCCCAGAGATGTTCATGTCCTAATACCTGAAACCTGTGAATATGTCCCATTACAAATGAATGAATATTTACATTTTTATATGCAATTAGTTCCATAATTACATTTGCACAAATATGCAAAGAGACTTCGAATGATTAAGATGTTGAGATGGAGAGATTATCTACATTAGCCAGGTGGCCTCAACCTAACATGATTCCATCAAAAGGGAAAGTTGTTCCTGGCTGAAGTTAGAGACAGAAGAGAGGTTGCTGGTTTTAAAGGTATAGCAAGGGGGCCATGCACTGAAGAAACACAGGCCGCCCTGAAGATGGAAAAGACAAGGAAACAGATTTCCCCTGGAATGGAAGGAAGGCAGCCCCGATTGCATCTTGACTTTGTTTAGCTTAGGGAAACTCTTGTTCGACTTGGAAACTACAGAGCTGTAAAATAATAAATTTGTGTTGTTTTAAGGTGTAACAGCAGCAATAGAAAGCCAATATAGTGGTCACAGAAGGGACAGAAAAAGACAAATGACTAAGGAATTGATAGAGTTCCCACAACTCAAAAAAAAAAAAAAAAAAAGCTTTGAAAACATTAACCTCTGTTTCATTTTATTTCTTGATTTTAAATAGAATTAATGATTTTATTACCTTTCTCAGAATTCACAAAGTAACATAAAAGGTCACGAAAAAATGATTTCAATGAAATTATAACTGAATTAGGAAATGATAGTTAAAAATTCCATATTTTACAAAGGTTAAGAAAGACATACAACAGTGAATGCCCAAAACTGTTAAGGGAAGAGTAAAAGGAAGAAGCTGTATTTCGTTTTATTATTACATTAAAGACGTAGGTACCAGGTGAATACTAACTGCAAACCACTCTGATTGGCTGTTTTTCAGTGGCTGCCTCCCTGAGATTCACTTTTTCTTAGGAAAATTCAGAACCCTGAGCCTTATGGTCACCAGAGGGTGCTATGGGACAGGCTCTCCCACTCATCCGAGGGTGCTTGCTAGACAGGCAAAGAATAGTGCCTATGCCTCTGGAAGCCAGTGACTTCTTTCTATTATCCAGCATGCTTCAAAAATCAGATCTGAAAGTGGGGTCGATTTTATTTTTTGGCGCTGAAATATTTTTAAGTGAAAAGTTATTTATGACAACTTTTGGCATCTTCCTCAATAAAAATGAAAATAATAAATGTGGAACAAAATTCAGCAGCTTTCACAAAGTTTTCAAAAAACAGGAATATTAGATAAGTAAATGAAAATCAGCAGTGTGATGCAATTTAGTTAAATGGATATTCCCCTGAGCTAGTGCTGGGAAGAAAGAGGGTGTGAGGGAGAACGCTATGTCCTGAGCAGTATCAGGGCATCCATAATTTATACTGTGAGGGTTATGTCTGTTTTAGTTCAAAGAACAGTCAAAATTCTTTAGCTCGTCAACAAAGGTGTGGACACCAAAGCCGCTGCAAGTCAGAGCTCAGGAAAAAAGAGAAGAACAAGAGCAAAGCACAGTAACAACTCCATAGAAGCTAATTTATGGCTCAGGCAGCCAAGGTTTTGCAGAATATAGTAGAATGAGCAAATGAACCTAGAAATGGTGATGGTTATATCTTTGTACTTAAAGTGAACATAGCTCATAACTGAAAGAGGAGGACTTACTACATTTCTGCGAACTGTAAGGAAAGTCATGGCATATGAAGGAAACCAGTTGGGGTGAGACAATAAGAGGCACGCAGAGGGGAACTAGAAAAGCAGAACAAGGCCGGGAAGCCACGACTACCACTTACGCACTTGCCATTGAGTATAGTCGACGTGGAGTTCTGCCTGGAATCGGTACAGATGACGATGAAAATAATTCTAAAATATTATGATGGTTTGTTTATTAAAGGAAATATATATTTAAGAATATATTCATGAATTGTATTTTTTTTGGTGAGTCAGAAATACATTCTTCTGGTACAAAATCCAAAAAGAGTTGTGTTATATTTGGAGTAGAATACTAGCTTTGTGGTTTTCATAAAAATAATACAATTAGTACATAGTACCTTATTGTTTTGAAATGTGAGGATTCATATGATTCCATTTTTTGTAGAGGTTGAGCATCCCTAACTTGAACATCTGAAATACTCCAAATTCTGAAACTTTGTGAGCATTGACATAACCTCACAAGTAGAGCATTTTATACTTGACCTCACGTGACGAGTCACAGTGAAAATCCAGTCAAGACTTTGTTCCATGCATGAAATTATTAAAAACATTGCATAAAATTACCTTCAGGTGATGTGTATACAATGTATAGGAAATGCAAATGAATTTTGTTTTAGACTTTGGTCCCAGGCCTGTGATATCTCTTTATGCATACGTGTATCAAAATCCAAAAAAAAAAAAAAATCACCAGAAATTCAAAACACTTCTTGCCCCAAGTATTTTGGATAAGGTATATCCAACCTGGACAATACTTTCTATCATTTTTTATGTATATATCAAGCCTCCAAGCCAAATTTCAATATATTTTCTGTCTCAAAAGATATCTAGAGCAGCATTCACCAAATATTGATGATGGCTATTTCTACGTGTTTCTTTCTTTCCAGCTATACATCTGATGTTAGATATTTTTTCAGTCAAAACAGCATATCACAACAGATTGAATGTGGAAGCAGATATGAATATATAGCAATTTTTAATTAAGCCAGACATTAAAGAGATTTTCAAAATGTAAACAGTGCAGCTTTCTTACTAACATTTTGTTTTAGAAAATAAAAGTATTTTTCATAAAAATGTCATTTCTGTTAATGCAATGCGACTTTTTAAAAAAGTAAATTTGTTATCAGTTTAAATTTTTAACATGTTTAGATATCTAATATCGATGTATTATCAACACAAGAATGTAACACTGATAGATATCATCTATAGAAATCAAGGCTCCTTGGGGCCCTAATTTTTAACAATGTAAAGGGCTTTTGAGACTAGAAAAAATGAGAAGATGTATAGCTATAAATCAAATCTCTCTCTAAGCAACAACTCATGTAAACATGTTTAATAGGCAACTCACAATAAACAATCTAAAGAAGAACTTTTGATGTTATCCAAACCTGATACATTTGATTTTTTTCCCAGCTTTCCTAACGTTAGTATGTGGTACCACAGTCGACCTAGCTGCTCATCTTCCAAACCTAGCAATCATCACTGATTGATTTGTTCTGCCATTTACCCCATCCAATCCCTTAGCAAGTTCCAGTGACACAACTATAAAAATATGTTCCTAATCATCCACTTCCCACCACCATCACAACTACTACCCCACTTCGAAGCACCATCATATTCCCCTGGCATCTTGGAAAATTAAAATAAAAAACCAAAAATCTTATTGGTAAAGTTTCCAAAGAGAAGCTATCAAAAATACATGTCTTCCATATCATTATCATTTATATACAAGTGGAATCAAATAATTTATATAATACAGTGTTATTAGTTTTTATTTTGCAATATAGTGATTACAGTGATTCCATTTTCTCTAGCCTAATTCTAAAGACCTTGACTCAAAAGAGTAGGTGATATGTATGTAATGGAATAGCTTTCATAAAATAATATGCATATAACTTTGAAAGTTTTAAAACGTTAGAACCAAATAAATTATACGTGAACATTTTATATGTTTCAGAAAATTTATTTGTATTGAGACAGTGGAATAAAAGGTAAGTTCTACATTTTCTTTTCACCAGATGTCTGGTTCAACTTACCTTATCAAGTTCATCTGAAATTGCAATACCTGGGATTTAAAAGAGATTTATAAAAAAAAGTTTTAGAAGCAATCTTTAGTAACCTAATGTTCAAAACAAACTCTCTATTTGTAAAAGTAGTGCATTTCCCATTCTATTTTTTTCTTTTTATTAGTGCTTCAAAATAATGTGGCACATCCTTTTTACCAACGAAAACAAATTAGGAATTTAAGTCAACTATGACAGCCATGAACTGCTGAAGCAATGCAAATGATAGAACAAAAACCAAGCAGTGCCACATTCCTTGTAGGTTGTTAAAGGCAGAACAAACTTGCAAATGTGATTGTAGCAATATCATCTTTATGTTATGATGACAATAAAGTATAACTTAGCCTGTTATAATTTGCTCCTTGTTAAGAATTTAGACTTCCAGAATAATTAAATATTAAGGCAGAATGGTGGTCCAAGATGACTTATTCTAATGTCTTTATTTTGTGGTTGAGGAAATAGACTAGAAAGTTTAAGGAATTTTCCCACAGTACTGCAGATTGACAGTTCCTTGAGCCAATGCATAAATGATTCCTCCTTACAAGTTCCTCCTCCACCAACTACATATTTCTCATTGCACATCAGTCTACTTTCTGTCTTTAGCCTTTCTCTAAAATTATTCTAAGTCAGCAACGTAAAAAGTATAGTCGTTAACTTATTTCTCTGTGAGGATAGACAATGTGACTTTCTTGAAATGCTATTCTCTCTTTTCTGTTCTCCTTTGTCTCTTTGACAGGGACCCTCTTTTTTGCAGGGATAGGGGTTCTTTCCTGAAATGGCAAGGGCTCTTTGCTGAGCTTTTTCTTCTCATTTGATATGCTTCTCTTGGTAATCTACCCCACACCATTGATATTTTTATTTCACTATATGGCACATCTTTGCGGCCAGCACAGACTTTCTTCCTGAGCTAACTATTGAATTCTTGTGGACATTTCATTCTCAGCTTGTCAGACTAAAGACATCATCCTCCCAAACTCACTCTCCATTTTATTCTTTTGCACAATGCAGCTGAACTTCAGCACTGTGGCAGGGCACTGGAGCAGGTGTGGCCAGCTCTCAGATGCAGGGCACAGAGCAAAGGTGGGTTAGTGTCAAATCCCAGTAGGGAATGAGTTAAGAGATAGGGAAAGGTCTAAACTTTGAAGCCCAGGAGAACATGGAGAAAATAAGAACAGGAAGTTCAGACTACAAAGAACAAGAAAGAATGGGCTGGGTTGGAAAAAAGAACCTGGAAATAGCCTCCTCAGGATAATAAAACTGAGTAAAAAGAGCCTGTTACAGGGATTGGATCCCCTTCCCGCCTTGGGTACAGATGTGGAGGGTATAGACAACATTTTATTATTTCCTATATCGTCTCCCACACCACTAACATAATGAATCACTTATACACAAAGCTGAAAAAGTACAGACAAATTCATCTTAGTAAACGGCACCATTGTAGATCTCCTTGTAGATAACACAAGAAACACAGGCACATTTGGGGTTCATTCTTCAATAATCTATGAAATTCTTGTTTGTTCGTTTGTTTTGGTAGAAATCATTGGTAACTAAGAATTTTTATGTGTCACACATTAAAAGAAAGTCTAGCTACCTCTTCAGGGGTTTTGGGTGACCAAAGCTTAACAATTATTCAAGGACTTGCTGTATTATGAAGGTAGTGCTTTCAAACAGTTAAAGGAAAAAAAGCTTTAGGGAGAGCTAGCATTGGACCTGGGCTGTATTACTGCTGAGTGTGCCTTAATGGAGAACTCAGATCTGATGGTACCGCATTCAAGGGGAAGACATGAGACTAAGAGATCTCAGAGGGCAATTATAAACATTTTAAAGACCTAACATAAGTCATATACTTGTGGAACGTTTGGGCTTAAAAATACGGAGAATTACAAATGGGGTCATTTAGAATAACTCAGATTTTAAGAAAATATAGAACATTTATGGCATACCAAATGGCTTATGTCACAGTCTATAGATTTAAAATACATTATTACAATTTATAAAGAGCCAAATGTGTTTTAAATGCTTATATTTATATGTATTAATTGTACAAAAAAAAGGTTTCCTTCCAATATGAATTCAAGATTAAGACTGAATATCTTAAATATAAAATTTTAAAGGGCTTAGTCTATTTTAAAAGAGAGAGAGCATAGATAATATGAAACAAAATTCTCTTCCCCACCCAAAGTCATAAAGCTTAGATATCTGGAATTAAATAATCCATAATTCAATTATTTGGGATTTTTTTTAAAACTCTCTTGATCTCTTGATTTTTTTAACTTCCTACATAATGCTCACAGAACTGCAAAAAGAGTTTTCTCATTTAACTTTTAGAAAGCTACCAGTTGATCTTTAAGGTTCTTTTATGCCTCAGATTTATGAATCCATTATTCGTAAAGATAGCAGCAATATATCACTCTTCCAGAAAGAAGCCAAGAACTGGCAAGTAAGTAAAAAAGCCCTGTGAATAGTCAAAATGTGTGTCACACAGAACTTGCACATTACTCATGGGCTAGCTCCTCTTGATTTTAGCAAACATATGAGCTGTTTTTCAGGGCTGGAAAATTTTGGCAGTTGAAAATGAAGATGAAGAGAAACATTGCTTTGAAGATATATTTCAGTACTAAGAAGTAATGGACCCCAGAATAAAACTCAAAGCAGCTAAATGGAAAACTTGGTTTGGAGAAAGAATTATGCCTTTAATTCTGCCAACGCTTTGGTCTCATTATATTTTGTTCAAATACTTATTATCATATTTTCTTAAAATTTACATATTTTGATGACTTTGCCTGAGAAATTATCCTAATAAATCTCTACTCTATTATCCGTAATTCTTTCAGCTTTCTATTATCAATGTCAAATTGCTGAGGGCATTTTTTTTTTACTTCTTCTTATTTCACTTTTAATCAAAGCTTAAACAGATTAAAAGCAGTTGAAAGAATTTTAATGAAACGCTTCACAGAGGTATGAAGCTCTAATGGGAACCATTTATACCAAGCAACCAGGATATCTTTCCCAGTGTCTAGCAGAACATCCACAGCTACTCCCTGAGAAGAGATTAACAGGTTTTAGGCATTTTATTAACTTTTAAAAGGTATCATATCTTAAATTGAGATTATGTTTTAAGTTTATGGAAACTGGGGATCTTCAGGAAACAGAAAATATGCAAGATAAAATGAAGTGAGTTGCTAAGATATATTGTAAGAATGAAAAGCCTGGGATTTGAGTGTGGGACTCACTCTGTTAAAGGCATTCTATTTTATAAGGGGAGCAGGGCATAATCATTTGGAAAATTTGCAGCCTGACTATGCGATAGAAAAGAAAAACCCATTTCTTGGGGAGAAATTTAAGACTGCTGCAGAAATTTGCATAAGTAGCAAGGAGCCAAACGTTAATCCCCAAGAACATGGGCAAAATGTCTCCAGGCCACGTCAGAGAGTTTCACGGCAGCCCCTTTCATCACAGGCCCAGAGGCCCAGGGGGAAAATGTAATGTTGTAGACCACGTCCAGGATCTTTGTGCTGTGTGCAGCCTAGGGACTTGGTACCCTGTGTCCCAGCTATGGCTGAAAGGGAACAACGTACAGTGCAAGTTGTGGCTTCAGAAGGTGGAAGCCCCAGGACTTGGCAGCTTTCACGTGGTGTTGAGCCTGTGAGTGCACAGAAGTCAAGAATTCAGGTTTGGGAGCCTCTGCCTAGATTTCAGAAGATTCATGGAAAGATTACTGTTATGAGCCACTGTGCCCAGCCTAAAGGGTGTTTTAATTGACTAATTGTCAGAGGTTGTTGATCACCCATTTAGTGATAAAGGCTCTACTTACACAGGTATTTGCTTTAGCATTACTCTTTATGCTCAGTGTCATACCAGTAAGCTAATTCTGAAAATAAGCCCTGACTTTTAGCATTTGTCAGTTTTCAGGATGTAAATATTCCCACTATGGTTAATTTCAAGCTACCAGTGCGGCAATTACTGAATGAGGTGTTGGGAAGGAATGTGCAGAGTTGGTTTTCACAAGCCAGTATGGGCCAGCTCTAGCATAAAACTGATATTTCCAAGTTATATGCTCTATTTTTGTATTTGAAGTTTATTTCACAGTTGAAAAATAAGTCTTAAAAAAAGAATTGGGTAGTCTAATTTTCTACATTATAATTGGCTTTTTTTTTCCAAAAGGGAAATTGATTTTGAAGAAATAGTACCATTTTATGCTATATGAATTTTCTGACCTACTTTTGTGAGATGAATGAATTACACTAAGGTGTAGAGAATTTTGAAAAGTTGCTACTTACATTTCCTATAACTACAACTAATTCTAACTCTGGGGCTGAACAGGTGCCTAGAAAGATAGAAGCCTTGAAGAAACCTGTAGCTCTTATTTCCCTTATAGAAGGCAACTCAAATATGGGAATATGAGAACTGTGTTTTGAAATAAGTTTCTGATACTGATATGTTTTGTGCTGTGCTGGTCTATGCAAACATACCTCTAAAAGTCTGAGGAAGCTGAAAGGTCGAAGAGAGAGGCTGCAAGTCAAATTTAGAAAGAAACATTTAATACAGACTAATGAACAGAAGCCATGAATGCTTAGAAATTTCTTCCTACAAGATACCCTAAATCATCTTTCTCAAGTTCAAAATTCCCCAAATCTCCAGGGCAGGGGCAAGATGCCGCTTCTCTTTGCTAAAATACAAAAAGAGTCACCTTTGCTTCAGTTCCCAAGTTCCTCATCTCCATCTGAGACCACCTCAGCCAGGACCTTACTGTTCATATCACTATTGACATTTCTGTCAAGGCCATTCAACAAGTCTCTAGGAAGTTTCAAACTTTTGTACATTTTCCTGTCTTCTTCTGAGGCCTCCAAACTGTTCCAACCTCAGCAGTGTGAAAACAAACAAATACAGTAAGTTGGTACTGAGAATGGGGTGTTTCTGAAAAGTATACCTGGAGATGTGGAAGCAACTTTGGAACTGGGTAACAGGACCAGCCTTACAAATATTCTTTCCTGTTTAACAA